TTATTACTATTGGTTTAACGTTTATATATATTTTCAGCCGTATAGTAATAAAAACAAGTATTCATTTGAATGAACTTGTTTTATATCAGAAAATGTTACCGTGTTTGATCCTCGGAAGCCTTAGTACGAGTTTGTTTTATTTTTAAAGTAATCGTAAAGAGTACGAGTTCGGCACTGTGATTGGCCGGCTACAATGAACCAACCAATCAGAGCGGTGTACGCGGTGAATTTTCGATTTCGTTCGTAAAACAAAATTCGTACTAAGCCCTTTGGTCCTTACTATTACGAGTCCTACGAGTTACTATTTCCGAAATATTCTAAATCATTCTACATTCTTCCTGTTTCTTCCACCTCTTTGATAGGATAATAATCTTTAATAAAAGGAGAACATTCATGAGACATAAGTTGAAAAACGATAGCAAAACGATGCGTATCATGATCATTATGATTCATACCACTATGATTCACGATAGAATTCTGAATACACGAAGTTTACAACTGGGTATCTTCGGTACAAGTCTAGCAAAAACACCGAGCAAATAACAAAACAAGATACCTCGAATAGTTCGACCTCATAAGATTATAAACCTAAACGAAACGGAATAAAGCTAAAAATCCATTAAACCCAACAATTTCGGGAATCTTAATGAGCAGTTTATTCTCACATGCAAATAGGTTGTCTGTGACGTCACAGGACAGGAGTAATGACGTAGTGAGAACGTCAGTCGGGTATCCAACCTCGATGTTATCTTAGACTATATAATCTCTACACCTACACTGCAAGAACAGTTTCCATGCAAATCTTAGATTTGATGGAATTTATCAATGTCAAATTCTCCCTAAAGAAGATACAAGCCACAAGACATCTGCCACACTCACAGATATATTAATATTTCTGTGGCCACACTGCTGAACATAGACCTTCTCCAATGACTTCCAAACCGGCCATTTTTAAATAACGTATGACTATATGAAAAAATGCCACAAATATCACATGTAGTTATATATGCATGCGTATTATGCACCTACATTTGTTATGCAAGTCCTTATCTACAAAGCAACAATATGAGTATAAAATTAACAATGAAAATAGCCATTATTTTTTAAATGCCACTAGCAACTGTTACCTTTGAACGTGTAGAAAAAAATGTTTCATGTACGACATTAATCGTAAATTTATAGTTTTTTGTTATTTTGCATTAAAGTTAAGTAAACAAATACGTAGTAAATTTATTAAACTGAAATACACAGCCAAATCGTAAAGAAAACTCATTAATTTTAAAAGGTCTGGGCCCTTTGGTACATTTGTTAATTATTATTTTAGTTACAAACACACAATATTTGTTCATAGATAAACTAATCATTGCAATAACAACTAAACATGGCGCCCGACACCATTTTGAAACTTATCGGCCCCTAGGGATGTGGTTAGAAGCGGTATTTTGTAAAAAATATCGATTTAGCGATATGAAACCACATGGTTATCGGTATTGACACAGCCCTAGTGCGAGCTGACATTTGAAATTCATAGAATTAAGTTTGTTTCTATTGAAAATTTTATTGTACTTTATCTATTGGGTAAAACACGTGTTTATTAAGTTCTGAGAATCGATCGAATAAAAAATCTCATGTTGATTGGTAATGTGGTCCAGGAAAATAGAAACAGTACTCTTTTTGGGTTGCGCATTCAATTTACCTATATATATTTAGACTCGAATTACGAACTTCCAACCCAATTACTATTTTCTCTATGCTAAAATTATTGGAAAAGAGAGTAGTCATTAGTAAATTATAAAAGAACAAAAATTCAACAATTGGAACAATTTTAATATCCTCTAACTCCACATACCATTCCCATAGCAAGATTAAAGAATGCAATAATAAAAAATGAATCTCAAAGTGTACCGAGTGTCCGACTTCCAATGGTGTCGAAAGAGGCACTGGAGGTATGCACGTGTACTTGAAAAGCATGACTTGGGTCACGTTGACCGCTACCATTGGTCTTTGGGAAAATATAAAGGCATATAATTGGCTAGTTTTCTCAAGGAAAAGTCGTTAGATTTGTATAGAACCAAACCAAACGTACTGTATAATTTTAATAGATTACTAAGAATCCTAAAAATATTGCATCAGCGTTATTCTAAGCAAAATACTAAACTGGATATCGACCATAAAGCGCAAAAAGTAATCTAAACTATGCCATATAAAGCCAAGAAAAAAGCCTAATACTTCCTTCTAACTTCTATCACTCTCTTAAACATTTATCTAGAATATAGCCTCAAAAACTAGACTAAAAATGTCAATATCGATATAATCACAGCTTATAACTCAAGGTACAACATGTCGAAAGCAGTTAAACGGACACGTGTGTCTCTGAAACATGTCCGCAGTCACGTTTACTGGGTCCTTGTAAGCGCATTTGTGTTGGGGACATCTCTCTCACGATCGGACAGAAGCAACTATTCCATTTGTTAAGGAATGTTATCATTTATAACCTAAAAATATGGGGATGTAGGTTATTTTAAGTGCCTAAAAAATGATTTTAGTGTTTTTGTTTTGGACCTTACAATATCATAGAAAATAATAGTATCTATAGATTCTAGACCTTGATAGTCAGTTATCTAGCAAAAACAATATCAAGCGAATATGAACGACATTAGATTGGCAACAGAATTCAAATTCAATTAACAGCCAGTAGAGTTCCTGGTATAATAACTTGCATGGACCGATCTCATTGTGAGGAAGAAACCAATCAGTGGTCGGAAACTCAATATAATCAGGCTACTAGGAACAAATTATCGAGTATTGGAAATATGCTTCACGGGTAGGTACTTTTGAAACCTTAAAAAAGAGAAGTTTTATTTCGCGACAGACTAACTTAATCAGACATTCTGTGTTAGTTATGTTAAGAACCATATTTATGTGCCGATCTGTTTGTTCATCGATTATGAAATAGACTCACTAACATAACGTTTCAAACGATATTAACCATGCTGAACAGTTACTTAAAAAAACTACAAGCGGGCAATGTAACAGGAAACGTAACACCCTAGGGTGTCCATTGCACTGTAAAACCTAATAGTGAACAACGCACAATTATACAGAATAGTGATGTTACATAACGGTTGCGAGTGCAAGGTAACGCATCGATACTTGCGGAAATCTAAGTCGCATTACTAGTTCTTTTTTTAATTTTACAGCCATAGAGGCAAGTTTTTGTGCAAAAAGGTTGCATGCAGGTGTTTATCGGTTTGTATGGAGGTTAAAACAAGAAGTTTTGATGACTCATGATGTTTTGTGCGCTTATGTTCGTTTGGAATGTTTATAGTTGATGTCGCTTATGATACTTCATCATCAACTCTCAAATTGTGGATGAAACAACAAATGTTATGGAAAACAAAAACTACATTTTAGACCTCAAATTGACTTATGTTAGTGAGCGGTTTTGTAACACGAATCTAGGCATTGTTATCACCTACAAAATATGGTTTAACAAGGAAAAAAGGGTATAAAAATCATCTACTTATCAGGTTAGTCGTAAAGTGAGAAAGGGTTCATATTATCGAAATATTATGGCTATTATACGCCAGTTCGTTCGCGTAGACCCCATGTTTTACGATTACGACACAATTTACCGGGACAGAATAACCGAATCCAGGATACGTTATTATATTGTTGTATCTCTTCTTATGTAACAAAAACGACCTCGAAATGATATCAAACGTATTAGGTAAAAATTCAAAATAATAAAGCTACAATATTTAGATCAGTTTCTACAAAATTTTGGCCAATAAAGAGAGAAACTTATTACCATCCACGAAGACAAATTCAGGCCTCAGAATTAAGTATTAAATTGAAGCTCTGGATGTCTTATTTAACGAAATCCGAAACCATTTATAACACCAGGCAAGACCTGATTTTATACCTCTTACGATAAACATCACCTTAGCAACAAAATGATCTTAATAAGAGTCAGCCAAAAAGAACGTAAAAGGAGTTGAAAAGAGGTCGGATATTGTCATTGCAACACCGGTACCGGCGACTTTATGTAATTTATCATTGCACCAAGTCATTGCCCTTTATTTTTACTAAAAAAAAGTGAATTGATATAAACAGGAAACGCTTTAATAACAGGTTTTAGTTCAGGAAACGCTATGAGAATTGAAAAGGACAACAGTTTTTACGAGGCAAGTAGACTTTAAAGGTTAATTTTGAGGGCGTTTTGTATTAAGGGCAGTAACATTTTGCTTAAGTTGATTTGAAACGTTCTATATTTGAAAAATATCGTTCGAAATACAATAGGCAAGAGAAAAAATAATCTATATAGGTACGAATGCCGCAGATAAAAAAAATATCGTTTATTTTTTTAGCACTTGAGTCTAAGATCATTTTGAACGATGCAGCCTATAAATAAAACTATTCTTATTACGGTTTCTGCTAAAAATTTGTTCGTTTACCGCTACATCTACATTCTTGGGCTCCTGGTTGTTACCATGTACGAGTGCACCATGCTCGGGGTGAATGACCGGCTATTCACGGGGTGATGATTGGTTAATTGTTTTAATATTGCATCTGCTATTGTGCCGTTGTAAGCTACAGGCTTTGCTAGGTATGCGATAATTTATTCTTAGTATATACGGGTGTTTATTCTTTTAATACTTTAAAACAAGATGAGAGGCACATTTTGTTATAAAATAATTCCCGATTTAGCAATTAATTTAGGCGTTAATTGGAATAACGAATGTTATCCGTTTCAAGCGAATGAAATACGGATATGAACATTACGAACTATTTACACATTTCTTGAAGGTATTGCTTCAAATGTCTGTTGAAGCAGTTAGACCATAACATAAGAAATAGGATAATACTTTATCAAAGTTTAAATAACTTACTTTTACCATTGGTGACTATACAAATTCGCTATTTTCACATGAAATAGCACAAGCACAAGTAATATTAACCTATAACTAACTTAAAATAAGAAATATATTGCCACTTACCGCCAGTGCCGAGTACTTTGAGCAAATCAAAGTAAGAAATATCAACTTTAGAAGCGCCATTGAGATTAACTGAAACAAAAATACACTGTAATTAATATTCGCGTCTTTACATGAGATTTACACATCTTATTAGTACGTCATGAAATTGAAAGTTCATTTGGAAACCTAACCAAAGCAATTTGAACATTATCATCTATGTTCAAAGATCAATTCTGGACTGAACCATAATCATTAACGCCAAAACGCGTGATAAAGTCAAAATACCATAAAATTCGATATAAACAACATGTTCTGGGGTTTTCACGTCAAACAACCATCTCCAATTACTACAACCATCTCTCAAAATCTATTACAAAATTTGAAAATAAACAAAAATCTCACGATAACCAGTCATAACTGTTCTCAGTACAAGTGTTCCGTTATATATATAGGTACATACATACATTAAACGACATGCCTACGCGTCACAACTTTTCACTTTTACCTCAGATCTGTTTTGAATCCATCATTTGTGGCTTACGAATCCGTTCTACTTTTGTTGCGAGAAAATTCTCACTTGTATTATTGTCAAGAGTTTGGAAGGAGAATTTGACATTAATATAATTTTCGATAAACACAATACGTAGCGTTGAGTTAAAATAGACGGCAGGAAAGCTTTTCATGGTGATTCTAATGGCACGCATCATGAGGTATTAATGTTATTGGTGCCCTATTTTGACTGAGTCATCTAGGTCACCTAGGTTTTGTGCTGAGGAGGGCAGACTTGTTACTCCAAATTAATTATTGATATTCAGGCGAAACTCGGTGTTAACCTCAATTCATTTGTAAAAAAGTCTTACATACAAGAAATTAACGCATTTTCTTTTCTTATACAAACGGTAAAAAGGGCGATTAGGGGATTATGTCAAGGCTAGGCCTTCATTACTATGAGTTTTATGAGCCAGAACCGAAGTAACGATTTGGCAATGTTACTAATGGGTTTTTCTGAAGAGTACCAAGCACTTAGGTACTTTCTCGGTTGGTTGGTTTAAATCTTCAACAAGATCTTGTCTAGTATACTTAAGCGCTAATCCATATAAAGTTTATTGGTCAACAAAACTCCGAATGACGCAGTTAAAATAGAATTTCCCGAGTAAATTTCCTCTGTAAGAACGAAATTAAAACAACAGCGTTTCTTATCACTTATGTTTAAAGTATTATGATAACGATTTACATAAGAATTGGCGATAAACAACTGTATAGACACAATGTTTTTGCTCAACAAAGTCAAAGGTTCATTGACATCCAGTTGTAATTATTTAATCTGTGACATTGGTAGTGCAAACTGCACAGTAGTAATCTATTTACAATATGGAGTATAATTTTATGCATTCTTTTCTTGAACCGGCTGTATCGGAATGTACCACATCAATCTTAACATATTTTTTGCTTTTAAAAAACTCGTTGAATTTAGTATAGTGCCAGAAAACTGCAAGGTATTGTATTTTTGCAAAATTTTAAGTGGCAAAAACTGGCTTTGAAATAAGTCAAACAAATTGAATGAACCCCAAAAATCGATACGTCATCATACGATACTTATCCAATCACTTGAGATCAAATTAATAGTCTTAACTCCGCGACGCGTCGCACAAGTGGTTGCCGGCCACCTGTTTCGAGACTAACTATATAGACTACCTATAGGTACTCGTGCAGTTACGTACATAAACTAAACATCCTTTAGACTGCACAGTGTACGACAAAGTCAATGGTGCGTCGACCTAATATTTACTAAATTCATATTTCTCAAAGGTCGCTAGTTACCAAACCACTGACATTTCTCGTTGGCGTCTGAAGGTGATTCGTGCGCATATTAAAAACCATAATTACTCAACTTATATTTTTCCAAATATGTACAGAAATATGTTGATTGAAAGTAGAACAAGTTGGTTTGTTTTAATGTGCTGTTACTACACGGCAATATGAGGCACGAGCCCAAGGTTTGTTGATAACGTGAACCTAAATTAACGTCTAGATAACCCATGAAATTAAAAACAATGGAACTCTTAAACCTATATAACTTAATACTGTTTATTTCAGAGATAGATACGATAATCTACTAAGTATCACGAATATTTAGGGAAGTACAATGTAACAGATAAAAAATTATAATCAGTTACTATACTTAATATAAAAATATCATTACTTCCTAGAACCATACTACAAAGAAAACATTGTATACATTTTTAACCCGGGAAGTCCCTAACAAGTTATAATGTTGCAGTAGAAAATTACCGGCTTAATGCAATAATGACACAATTCCATGGGAAAAAAATTATAGGAACCAGATGTGACTATTAACTAGGTATACTTATAAAAATAGAGTTATAGCTGTCAAGGTCTAACATATAGGGTTATGCAATGAACAGAGAGTTTTTATATTCAGTTGAACATTTGAAAATGCCCCTATGGCCAGTGTGCTGACATATTTAATCTCTTATTGCAGAATATGATATTAATTATGTTAGTTTTGGTGATAATATTACTACAATTAAAGAGTAGAAAGTCAAGCAAGTTCATATGGCTCAGAAAATTCAGTGTCAATACGGAACTTCCAAAAATTTTTAGCCAAAACCCTGTCAGATCAAAACATAGTATGGTATTTTAGTATGGTATGTCAGAAAACTCTTAAGAACACTGTCATATCTGTCACATACTGTGTCTACTGAACAATGTCGTGTAGGTAATATGATACTTCAAGATTACCAGTCCTTGAAAACATAGGAACATACCATTTGTGATGATTAATCAAGTAATTATCGGAGTATGTACCTATGTATATTATAAGGAACATTTGTAAGCAGAAGTAATTGCATAGAGATATAATAATCATTTGTACCTGGATTTGCAAACAGAGAGATTTCTAAAACTAAAAACTGCGGGTTACTCACGTGAATATAGCCTAGTAATAGTGAATTGGTTTGAATTCGCGGTTGCCGCGACCGCGCACGCTGCTCATGAAGAAGAACCCCTTTGTGGATTGAAACTAGTAGAGCTTTTCTCAGTATATTCAAGTGAGTAACCCGCAGTATTTAGTTAATTTAGTATGTCTCAAGATAGTTATTATAAAAACAAAAAAGTATCAGACTATTTTTCCTTCAAATACTTTTTGAATAACAATTAGTTAAACATTCTACAACTTGCTTATTTAAATAGTATTAATTAGTATATCTAACTGAGCTAATATTAAATGGCCGACCGGACTTGGGACACCAATTACGATAAGGAACTATTATTATCATGGTTTGCGTCAAACCTCGTAAACGTTAATTTAGAGCCATCAAACTGATGTCATAGTTATGAGGTATTTAAAAAAAATATATATATATTTTATGTGTTTCATCATTGTTACCATATTAGTCACAAAATGTCTGCTGAATGTAAGCCTCCCTCAAAGACTTCCAGATTGGCTGATTGAAAATGGCCTTGACATCGGTGTATTTTATGAGAAAATATTTTAAGCATGTGATAAAAGATTACTCATTTATTAACTGCTTATTTCTAGATTTGATAATTTTGAAATGGACAGGGATTTATTATTTTATCAACATAAATTTTGATAGCCAAGTATTTAATGTCATTCCAACATCATGACGAGGACTTCAACAAGGAATTGATTTTTATTTATTTACTTTTTAAAACTCAAAAACCCTGAAGTACAGTTTAAAAATGTTACCGAACAATCTCAACAAGTGAATTCAACTTTCACCAAGTTTAAGATACTTTCACTTTGAACTACAGATTAGAATCTAGACCAGATATTATTTTTAGAACTGTTCTATCAAAATAGACTGCTGCAAATAGACGTTTGAAATGTGGGATGGATTCTTGTAGTTAGTGCAAATTGAACTTAATTTATTTGTGTTAAGAGTTGATTAAGGTTTAGCAAGGATTATTGCAGTATTAAGTAGTATTAAATTATAATTAATCTTGATAAAGAATTTAATGCAACAGATAATTTTAAATAGGTATTATGGCAAAGTAATAAAGTTAAGCTTTTGCCGGATGGGATTATCAGAAACTAAAGAGATGTTTTTTAATATTATAACCATAGATTAAATTAAATTATGAAATTTTTGTCGCCATCATCAGTTACAAGACTTCCAGATTACGATATAACTGCGAGATAAAATATCAAAGAAAGATTAATCATTCATCATAGGACAGAAATACTAATTTTCCTAATTATCAGACTGATTCTTTAGTAATGTTGTGTTTAGATTGAATAGAACATTCAAAATAATAACACACAAATGTTTTGCTGAAAATTGCATGAATATAATAAACATCATTTGCAAACTGAAAACATTACTTCATTTTCCTTCCTTTCTGTTATTTACTTTCATTACATACCTTGCCTATATTTGAAGCAAGGGGTAGATAGAGACATAAACCTTTTCTTTTTTCAATTTTTTTTTACATTGTGCTACACCAGTTTCATAAAATGTTTAATTTAGGTTGTTTTTGAGACCAAGTAATGATCATTATTCATAATTAACCTACTTTTATGTAGATTACTTGTTGAATATCTATATTTTTAATGGTTTTAAGGATTTTACCAGTTTTATCAATAAGTTTTATAAAAACACAGATTATAAAATTTTCTGTAGAAGGGTAGGTAAGAAAAATTTGTGTCAATATCAAAAATTATTGGGGGAGGCCTATGGCTGATATAAGGATGATGACGATGATGATGATGATAAGGGAACCATGATACCTAGGCATATAATATTTAAAAAATTGATATTTTCTAGGATCTCATGGTTAATTCAAATCCAGGGCAGGATTGATCTGTTTTGAGAGAATCTTGACTAGGTATATTTCTATCCTTCCCATCAAAAAACGTCAGTAAGTAATTTTTCTATTATTTTAAAGTAATATTTAGTTACTTATAAGTTGTAAGTAGACATATGACATTGAAATCAATTACGTAGCTACTACTTCAACCTTTGTAATATGTAAAACCTTATGAATATTACATAATAACTAATACACGTACTGTTTCACAATTAACTATTACATTATATAAAGAG